CCGGAAATGCTGAACGCTCCCCGGGGGCTACGGGCTCCACGGGATGCCGGATTTCCGGTAGGAGAACGTGGGTCAAATGCGAATGCGAAGTTGAGCAATTAAAGAGCATGTAGAGTACATCACAGGGCTCACTTCTGCAGGAACTTTTGTCAAGTCATGGCATCGGCAACGAGGCAGTGTAATGTTGACTCCTACTTATTGACGAGAGCCTCGGTTTTCAAACGGAGTTGGTACGGGACCCCCCGACATGACCCAAGGATCATCAATCCTGGAAATGCATGTGTGGTTTCAATTAAGAATACAACCGTAAACCGGGTGTGACAATGGAATCGCGAACTGCAGACTATTCCATCAACTGCAGAATGGTGTCAGCACATAGATACGTATTCTGTATGAGGGGTAGTAACGTATCACGTATTCTTCCTCATCATTTTCTAGTATTACCGTCTTAATTACCTCTAACGCACCCGATAAAAAAGTTCACAAAGGGATCAGCGTTGGATAAAACCGGAGATCTATGTACTGACGCCATTCCGCAGTTGATGGGATATATGTCGAGCGATGGTGAGGTTATCTTGAGAGCACAGATCCAGGTGCCGTAGATAGCTCGTCTTCACTTGGTGAATAGCTTACCCAAGTTTATACTAATGACTTACACGAGAACACGCAATGTTTATTCTAATCTACTCTGTGACTGGAGTTACATAGCATCTCAAGTGACCCTTAAACAATGCAAGACCAACATCAATCCAATCGAAATCATCGTCCTTGGTCCCGTCTAGGCTCAGCTCGAAACGACGGAAAAGGTTTGCATAAGCTAGGTACAATTCGCACCACGCCAAGTTGATACCAAGTCAACTGCGTGGTCCCTTGGAGAACGGAACAAAATAGCGGTCCAGCCTCTGTTTAGCAGCCTCGTCTGCTACAAGCCATCGCTCAGGGATGTACTGATCGGGGGTCTCGAATGCCCACGGATGTTGCATGGGGAACAAGACTCCCATGCTAACAATCGTCTAGAATTCGTGTCAATTTTCAGTTAATCACTTCCTCTGTATCAGGTCAAGACTCACATTTCCGGGGACTTCTGCTCCGCCAATCCTTGCTCCGTGAGGAGGCACGAGCCTAGAGTTTTCAGAGGTAGTTGTCGGCGCCATCCGCAGTGCTTCCTTGATGACCGATGTCTGTTTTCGTGTTAGGCTTATTCAGGAATGACGGTATAACACTTACCAAGTAGGGTAATTTCTCCAGCTGCTGCGCCGTTGGGGTAGGGCCTTTTAGATCAGGCCATACTTCCTTCAGCTCTGCCTTCAATCTCGCATACTTCTCCGGGTGCTTGCACAGATGATACGTGCCAAGCGTCATGGTTGCTCCAGTTGTGTCGGTTCCGGCGATGACAAGTGCAATTGCCTCTTCCATCAATGAGGCACGAGATGGTGGAGGTCTGGTCGGGCTATAGTTTTCTGGATCTGTGAGGGCACCGTAGATAATCGGTTTCTCATCCGGGCTGGGCTTGCCTATATTAGCCCTGATGTTGTCGATTTGTTCTGCAAACATCTAAAACCGAGAGGATTGTTACTCGGAGTCTTCACTGATGGGGGTGCTAGAATCTAAAAGGAACAGACAACACACGTACGTTTTTCATCTGCGCGAATGCCACACCGCTTTTGAAGAAGGTAAGGCCAACCCATTCCGGTACCCACAGGATGAGCTGCCGTACCAGCCAGAAGTGCTTGAACACCATGAACCAGGCGACAATACTTTCCATTGACTCCAGAATGGGGCTATGAAAATCTTCATGCTCGAAGCAAGCTGCCGATTTGCCGAAGCAGATGGACGTGATTGTCTCTAGGCCGATACACCGAAAAGCGAGACTCATGTTGGCAGAGACGCCCTTCTCGTGATGCTTGACCAAGTTTGAGCAGAACTTATCGATCTAAACACCAGTTCGATGAGAGATAGGACGGAGGAGTTTGATTAGGTGCGATAGAAGGCCCTTACATTTTCTTGTATTAGTTGCTCTCGGTTATATACAGAGCTCTTGGCGAAAAATGGATGGAGAATGTCCTTGCGATTTTTGTTGTCTTGATGTTTGACAAAAGTGACAGTGGCGCCGTCGCCACCTAGAAGAGCGTACATGAACGGATCTTTGTCAAACTTGGTGCGGTAGATCCCAGAGTATGCGTCAGGATGATTGAAGTGAAGCTATATCGTTATTAGCAACCATGCGCTCAAGGGCTCGTCAAGCTTCAAGCTTCTTACTCGGTTGGGTCCAATTCTGACGATATCTCCTGCACTCAGAGGTCAGAATGATCAATAAACGTGAAGTCAGAGACAGCTCAGTACCATATTTAGCGTGGAGATCTATGCAAATATGATGCATCGATCTATTGACAATAGTCTGCTGATATGTCGACCACCAGCTGGTGGCCGCGGCTAATCTTGGTCCTGGAAACTTGGAGAGTGGGTGAGAATAGATGTTTCTAATGCATTGTGCAAGCCAAAATAAGACCCACAGGCTGGTAGCAAAGATGACGCCAGACTTCAGGGCGTCAAGAGCGAGATTGGTATGGTTCCAAGCCATTGTGAGATGGTGTAAGATGGGGTTTGAACAGACGATTCTAACAACAAGCTCAAGAATCAAGATATGGCACTGCGGTAGCGATTAGGCGGACCAAAATCTAAGAATCCGATTATATATGAAAACCCTCTAGCGTTAGGAAGACAAGCAGGGTCCGAACTGCTTCCTATCAAGGATGTTTCGTTGTAAATGGGCTGCGGGTCCCTCTATGATACTAAGGTACTTTGGAAGCCATGTAAACAAAAGTACCTGGCAGCAGTAACCCAAGCCTTCTTATCAGCCACCCCTACGTTTCGGGTCACGTCCAAGAAACTCAAATATTGCTATTCTGCAAGATCCATTCCATTTTAATATGGCCGCTGCATGGATCTTCGGCCCCTGCAAAACTCCCCGGGACGCTCTTCCGTGGTTTAGCCATGCCTTTGACAACCTCACTTCTAAGTCATAGCCCGGTTTCTCATGATTATGGGCGGTCTGGTAGCTCATGAGCTTCAGAGTATAAGAGGGTCCAAACTCAACGACTGACGGGGAAGGTTTCTCATGTAACACTACACACCAGGTCAAGAAAACGAAATAACCAAGTCCCCAAATGCCTTCATCAAAGTTGAGCGTGTCCTCCGTCAACGGTAAGCTCGCCTCTTAGTGCCGTATTATCCCATATCATCCCATTCTAATGCTTTCACAGGGAACATTTGCGCCCTGGAGAATCTGCAAGATGTCTCGCAAATTGCGTACGCCTACAACTGGCTCCACGATGCTCCTTATTTGGATCTGAAGACCTCTCTACTCCCGTTGGCTGGATACGAGCGGCTCCAGCAGTGCCGTACCCCTTCGACTGACGGAGAAGACGAGCCTACTGATATTAATGGATTTGACATCTTCCCCGTTCGAGCTGGTCTGCCTTGGCCGACGGGATTCCCCAAGGCACGTCAAAGCCGCCACTGGGAGGCCGGCCTGAGAATCTCTTCAGAGCTGCTGGAGTTGTTCAGCACTGACTCCAGCATGTTCACTGCTGTCAAGCTTAACGGCAGATCCCTTGCCAAGATTGCTTCTCACGAACTTTTGCTACCGGAAGAGGACCGTTTTACCAAGTTTGCCACGTACCTGTTTCCTGAAGCAGACAAGGAGAGAACCCGCCTTCTCGCAGCCACCATTGTATTCATTGTCATCTTTGACGGTAAGTAAGAATGCACACCTGTTTGCCTTCCGAGGTTACTGAAATCTTCCGCAGACTCATGGGAGATGCATAGCGAGGATAAGGTACGATGTCCATCCCTGCAAGCTGATCCCTACCACCGAGTTATCACTAATCCAGGATTCTAGCTCGGCGTTGTTCGTGACGACTTTCTCCGTCGCCTTGAATCCAACGGAGAGAAAGAATGGTCCAAGTCCGAGCTGCAGTCGCTCATCGGTTACGTTGTAGATGGACTCAAGAGTCACGACAAGATCGTCGGCAACGGAGGTCAGGAGGTGATTGACCGACTGGCGGACTTTTGTCGACACGTCCCGCCCCAGTCGAACTTCGCCAGCCTAGCAGACTACTTGTCCTACCGCAACATTGATGCGGGTGTCCCGTAAGTTCGACCTTCATCAAACTCCCACACGCGCGCTTCTCCCCGTTACAAAAGGCCCGACCCGCATCTAATAATCGAATGTTTGCAAGGTATATCTTGGCATGTGTGAAGTTCTCGCTAGAGTCCGACGTTGTGATTGAGGATCCCAAAATGACCAGGATCCTACGTCTGGTTAGCGACCACGTGTCGCTGGTCAATGACCTGGCCTCTTTCGACAAGGAGCTCAAGGCCCTTGAAGATGGCAAGGTCTGCTACATGATCAACGCGGTCGACGTCGTGCGTCGTCTTCTGGGATTGGATTCCTATTCTGCCGCCAAGGCCGTTACTTACAGCGTCCAGCTGGAAGTGGAGGCTCAGATGGAGGAGGAGCTGGAGAGGCTTGCCAAAGAAAGAATCTTGTCCCCCAAGGAGGAACAGTTCGTTTCCGCCGCCCTGACCATGACGGCGGGGAACCTGTTTTACTCGGTTGTGACTTCTAGATATGGTGGAGAGGCTGCCAAGATCGATGTTTAACGATTGACATGCTCCCTAAGGCGCTTGTGGAGCGCGTCCGAGTCGGGGAGTTAAATCGGTCCAAATATAGGCTTTTGAGATATATATACAATGCAACAGCTCTACGTGGGATATGCAGGGTCATCAGTACTACAGCATCAAAAGTGCCTTCCCATGGATCTATCCTATCTCCCCCTAGCACGCGTGACTGTGAAACTACACAGCTCTAAAGGACTTCTACCGAAACTCTGAGTACCGAGCGAATCATGGAGTCTCTATATCATGATGTCTCAATTCATCCATAGTCGACAACCAACAACAATTTGGCAGCGCTTCACGAATACGAAAACAGCGTAATGTCATTTCCGAGCCTGCTCCAGGTGCTTTCGAGCCACTGGTTCGCAGCCTGCCTGGCCATCTTTGTCCTTCGCGCTCTCTATCGCCGTTATGTTCCTAGCCTCAGAGATATCCCTGCAGTCAACTTCTTAGCAACGGTGAGCCGCTGGAACAAGGTTCTCCAAGTGCTGTCAACTCGTGCTGAGAGGAACTTGCTAGAAGCGCATAGGAAGCTCGGTCAGTCTATAGATCAACTTGAAAGTGCCATCATCGTTGAAGCTGAAAGATCTAGGCCCCATCGTCCGCATCGCCTATAACGAAGTCTCCATCGCAGACCCGGAAGCTATCCCCATCATCTTTGATAATGAACAAAGATTCGTCAAGGTGAGCCCGCATCCTTCAAAGACATTGTGTAGTTGAAATACCACTGACACGAAAAAGACAGACTGGTACTACATGTTTGGTTTCCCAACACCAGATGATGCCAACCTCTTCTCCGTCATCGATCCAGTCGAACACAAGCGCATGAAGCGCAATGTCGCACCCGCATTTTCAATGTCTGCCCTCATGGCCTTGGAAGAGTTTGTTGACTCAACCGTGACGCTCTTCATCCAGTGCATGGATGAGCTTGCCATAGCCCCTTCAGTTCCGCCGTCGCAGCGCAAGGACCCGATCAACATGGTGGAGTGGTTCCAGTGGTACGCCTTTGACGTGGTGGGGGAGCTGAGCTTCTCGCGACGCCTCGGGTTTCTCGACACCAAGTCTGACGTGGGTAACATGACGAAGGTGCTTGATAGCTTCATCCAGTACGCATCCACGGTAGCCATGATGCCAGAGCTGCACAAGTTTCTCTTCGGAAACCCGCTGGTAGCCGCCTTCCTTAGTCCTCCGGCGCTGGTCATCTCGGATGTCACCAAGCAGGAGATGGACAGGCGTGAAGCGGACCCGGATGCAGTGCACTCCGACATCATGGACAAGATCATCCAGTCTCAGAAGAAGATCGGGCCTCATGAATTCCCGCATAGCGAAATCTTCCAGCATGCCGTGGTCAACTTGTCCGGGGGCTCAGACACCACCGGAATTGCCATGGACTCCTTCATCTACCACCTCCTCAAGAACCCGAAGGCCTACAAGAAGCTACAGGCCGAAATCGACCAGGCTGCGTTGAAAGGGAAACTTTCGGACCCGCCGAGGTACAGCGAGACAAACCACCAGGCCATGCCGTACCTCGCGGCCTGCATCAAAGAGGCCCTTCGCATTCACCCGCCCGTCACCACCACCCTCCCTCGCCATGTACCGCGAGGCGGAGCTTACATCTGCGGCCGCTTCTTCCCGGGCGGTACCAGAGTGAGCGTCTCGCCTTTCGTCGTTGCAAGAGATAAGAAGCTCTTTGGGGAAGACTCGGATGCGTTTCGGCCGGAGCGTTGGCTCGAGTGTTCGCCCGAAAAAGCCTTTGACATGGAGAATGGCTGTTTGCATGTAAGTCGCCCCGCGCCAAGTCATTGCTTCTTGAGATCGATGCTGACTACGACGAAGTTCTCTCATGGCGCGCGCATATGTCTAGGACGCCATATCGCCGTCATGGAAATTTGCAAAGTCATGGCTGCGCTGCTAAGACGGTTCCGCCTGGAGCTCGCTGCCCCGGACGAGGAATGGGATGTGCGCACTTACAATTTGCCAAAGCCAAAGTCACTCAATGTGTATATAATTCGTAGAGAGTGACTGCAAATTGAACATGAATTGAATCCGAAGATCATATCACTTTGAAACTGCCTAGAAATCTCACCAACGGTCATAGTCTCCAATGTCTTCCTCGTGATACCTCTCCTCGACTCGCGTGAACCCAACTTTCGGCCCGTCAAAAGGCCACGGCTCACCTTCACCAGTCGCAAACAACGCAAAAGATGCTCCAGTGAACACGAAAAATCCCGTTGGCGCGAAAGCCTGCCACCTCGAATCAATCTCTGCGACGTACGTCGGCTCGCCATCGCCGATGCTATAGCCCAGGTGGTATGTCAATGGTTCAGCCCGGATGTCAAGTCTCAGCCCGCTCTTGAGCAGAGACGATGAGTTGAGGGGTCGTTGCCAGTACTATCATTCACGTCCAGTCAGCAAACCGTCGTCGATGAACTTCGCAGAGTTGAGAGCCAGAAAGGGGAAGCCCAAGGGGTTGGAAAGAACTCACATCCACAGTGCCATTCCTCCTAACCTCGGTATACAAACATATACCCCCAATCCCACCATCGCACCCCTTGACACCGATATCCTGGTGCTGGAACTCACTCAAGTAACTCGACACCCCAACTCTCATCCTCTGCCCCAACACGCCCTCAAACCCAAGCAGCTCCGCAGAAAACGTCATGTTCAACGACGTCTGTTTCCGCAGCACCGCCGCGGGATGATCCCGATCACTCAAGCCAAAGACGTTAGGCTTGAAGACTAAATGCCCGTTATCAACATCATACGACTTGACGTACGGCGTTCGGAGCTGGTACCACGAGGGATCAAGCTCCCTTCCGGAGAAGTCGTCTACCCAGGGGGCTGGCGTCTTTTTGATTCCTGTCTTGGGCCCGATCTCTTCGCTGAGAATAATGGGCTTCCCGTTGTTGATGCTGGGCCAGTCGTTTTCCCATGTCACTTGCGCCAGAAAGGTCTCACGGCCTATACCCCTCAAGTTAACACTCCCGTCTGCTGGTCCATCAGAAGACAATTGTCAATAACACATACCGAGTGGCGAGCTGCCATTCACATTCCGCCTCGCAATGAAGGAAGCATACCACTCCCCATCAGCAGTCTCTACAAACGTTGCATGCCCCGTCGACTGCACGGTCAAGTTCTTGGCCCCCCATTGTCCGTTATACATGAGGGGATTATGCGGACAAGCCTCAAACGGTCCAGAGGGCGACTTACTCCGAGCAATCGAGGTACGATGTAACTCATCAGTGCCGCCTACCCTTTACGTCAGTTCCACTCTCACACACAATCACACGCAAAGCAGCATCACAAAACCATCACAGACTCACCCTCAGCAATGACCAAATAATACCACCCACCCCTTGAAAACATCTTTGGCCCCTCAGGCCTGGCCGTCGCATTCCTCTCCAACGTCCCATTCCAAAGACTCTTCTACTCTCCAACGCACGCTCCGCTCGAAAGCTCGACCTCGCACTGCGCAATCCCCCAAAGCCTCTCTTGATTATTATTCGGCGCCATCAGGTTCAAATACGTCCTCCCCGTCGACGAATCATGGAAGAGCTCTGGGTCGATGCCCCACGGCTCCGCCCAGACGGGGTCAGACCAGGTTACGAGGTCCGGGGAGGAGATGAACCACACCCGCGGCCAGACGCGGGCCGCGGGGTCGTAGGTCCAGCGCGTCATGCCCGAGAGCCAGAATTTGTTGTGGAAGTGGGCTAGGCTTGGTGCCCAGGCGCCTGCGATGGGATGTTAGTGAGATGATTCCAGATGGCGATTCACCTACTACGCGGGCTCGCGGGGAGGATTTGAGGGCATGGTACCAGCTCCGGTTGGGACGCCGTAGAGTTGCAGCTGCTCCGGCCTCGTCAAGGCGTGCGAAAAAAGCGTCCAATTCGACAGATCCTTGCCTATTCATACCGTTGTTAACATGGCACACATAGCACTCTACAGGCACGATGGGTATCGTTGATCTTACTGTGATATATCGGCATCCCAGGCCAGTACTCGAACGACGACGTGGCAATATAATAATCATCCCTTACCCGAAGAATTGCAGGATCAGGGTTAAAGCCCGAGATGATGGGGTTCCAAATCGCCCATGCTGGTGTGAGCAAGAGGCACAGCGCGAATAGCACACGCATAGCAACGAGCATCTTCATGGTCTGCTTTCTACCCCTAGTCGAGATTCTGATCAAACTTTGAGCCGTTCATGTGCCGCTCGATTGTATTCATTGCAGTGCAGATGAGGCTATATCAAGGCGTTCATCTGAAGTTGATCGGCATGTGTTGGCGGAGCCGGCGTATTGCCCGGAGCAAGCCCCCGAACACCGGCCACCTGGCGGAGGATGAACCCGGCATTTCCGCCGAACATCACGCTGTACTTCTCGCAGAAGAATCAATAATCGCGAGTCCGAATTGCACTTGGCTTTAAGGCTCAGCCAATTCTCACGTTGCGTATCACTTGGACTTCTTGTCAGATGTTGATGTTGATGAATTTGATTGCTCCCAATTCTCTTACTATGGTATATCAGACTCCGACCTTTGCACTACCACCCAACCCACCCTAGCCACAGCCTTGAAACGTTCCGGTATTCTTCAGACTCGAAATGACTGTGAACTAGCCCTTCCACCTGATCTTGCAGTCCTCCAGATGGTAGACGCCAGGCCCGCCACCAAAACGCAGACAAACTCATCCCAAAAACGAGGACCCCGCCCTATTAATGCTCCCTCCGAGAGCCTAACGTGGAAAAGGCTGAGCACCTGAGTGCCTCCGCCAGAGAGGAAAGAATGAAGAGAAATAAGAAATATACAATAGGAACCCAGTAGTCGTAGAGTTCGACATTTGGGGGTAATTGAAATAAAGCGAAATCAATGGCAAGAATACAAAAACGTTCTCATAGATTCGTGACGTCCATTTTCTCTCTTTTTTTAAACCCCGCCATCCATTTTAATGATACTGAGAGATGATTAGAGATGATGAAGAGATTCGTGGCGATTGTGTTGCGAGTGTTTAAATCATGCCGCCGGGCATGTTTCCGTTGTTCAAGCCCCCTGTCATAGCCATAGGCGCAGGCATATTGGGAGGGCTGTTGCCCCGGGTCAGTCGGGCACGCATGTTCATGCCATTGGCTTCGCTGATGGTCTTTCGGAGGCGGCGCCGCTGGGAACCAGGGCCGTCCTCTTCGTCGCTCACAGAGAACGCGCTGTGGCTGTCGCCACCGTGCTCACTGGGAATCGGTGGAGGAGAAAAGGGCAGGTGAGGGGAACTTGCGCCCATGTCTTCATCTCCTCGGCGGCCCATCATCGAACCGATCATGTTGCGACGCTTCGGGTTGATCGGAGGCAGAGGCGGAGCGTTGATATTAGCGTGCACGCTGCCGTGAAGATTTGGCGTCGAGGCGGCAGCACCGAGGATGCTGCCAGATCGCGAACGAGAACCGCTTCTGGACCGGGACTCTGAGGTCTCAGGAAGAGCCACAGTTGGGACGCGAGAGGTTGAAGAGACAAAGGTTGGCTCAGAAATATCCTTCTTCCTGACCACTCTCTTCATCGACTCGTCGAGGCGGTTGGCAGGTGCAGCCTCCATGTTGGGCGACGGCACAGGAGGTGCGGAAGGTCGGCGGGAGGGGACAAAAGCCGGTGAAGACTGGCTGACGGGAATGGACGGCGACGGGATGGGAGCCATTGGGGAAATGGGCGAAGGCTGGCCGGATTCAGGCCCCCGTCGGCGGTACTGAACTGCCAGGTTGCCCTGGGATGCAGACCGATCGAGAGACTTTCCTTGACCCGCTCCGGCTGGGTATGGCTGAGGAGGCATAATCGGAGACCGACGAATGTTGGTGCCCGGGAGGCCTGGCGAGTTCAGCATTTGAGGTCTAACCGGAGGAGGCACCATGCCGCGCTGCTCTTCGTGGGGCGATGAGATGGTGCCGGTACGCAAGCGTGCTGGGCGATGAGGCCGGTCTCCGCTGCTAGCTTCAGAGCCGCTGCGGTCACGCTCAGTCCGTTCAGTCCGAGAAGGAGGGCGGGAGGGCGCGCGGCCAGAGCCGTTGTTAGGTTGCGGCTCCTCACTGGGTGCCCGCTGCTGATAGGTGACAGGAGGCGGCCGGCGCTCGCGAGATGGCGATCGCGGACCGGGGGTGCGCTCGCGACTAGGTGCGGTCCTAGACGCAGGTGGGCCAACTATCGGAACCGATGCGGAGCCAGGCATTTGACCAGGATTGATAGGGACACTTGACGGGCTCTTCTGAGCCTCCATCAGCCGTCGCCTAGCTTGTCTGAATGCCTGGAGTCCAGCGTGCATGGAGTCGTCCTCCTTGTCCTTCTCCGGCTCGTGCGTGGGAAGGACTGGCGCTGTCTCAGCTCTGGGGAACGCTGGCTTCTCGCGCTCTTCCTGGACAGGCGACTGGGGTTCCTTCTCCTCGAAGCTTGACTTGTTTGGGCTAGGAGCACTGCTGATGGTTGACGTCGCAAGGCCAAGCATCTTGATGGCCTTTGAGTGCTGGCTATCGACGCGGTTCTCGCGGTTGCGATCAATCAAGGAACCACGGCTCGTCTTTTGTCTCAAGATGCCCAATGGGTTCGGACGGGGCAACGATGGCTCTCTTGTACGATCGACGGGGTGAGGTGAGAGGGACCTGCTGTCACGATCTGACTCCACGTAGGAAGTCAGTCTCTCACGAACTCGGCGCGCGCGGTCAGCGAGTTGGTTGGCAAACTCGTCGTGTTCCTTCTCCATCTCGGTGCTTGACCCTGTGTTGCGCTCTGAGGTTGGCTGGTTCTCTGATGGGAGCGTTTGATGAGGCTGCGAGGTGGGCTCAGGAACTGCCGGTTCCTTCTGATCGTTGAACGTCGGGTTTGCCCAGTCTGGCGACTGCACTTCCCAGGGGTTGGCCATCACTCCCATATCCGCCATAGACTTGGGATCATATGGATCAAGAGGAAACCTAGAAGCAAAGTTGGACGTCTGCGGCGCTGAGCCATAGATGGATGAAGTAGCGCTGTCGGTTCGCAGGTGCTGGCGGACCATTCCGCTGAGGCCGGCGGACGAGGGGAGCGTCGGAGAGTCTTGAGGCGAGCTGGTCGTCTCGGCGGATACGGCAGTGAAAGGTTGATCGGACACGGGCGACGGCTCAATCGACGCGCCGGTGCTCAATGAGAGCGGTGTTGGCACGGCAAAGTCCCTGAGTGCGGGATGGTCGCGATCAGCAGGGCGTCTTGTGGCGCCGTGGAACGCAGCGGCTGGGTTTGTGGCGTCATCTTGGGGAGAAAGTGAATCGTCGTAAAAGCTCAGCCCAGCTTCCTCTTCCTTTACTGTCGGCTCTGTACGAATTATCTGTTCGGGTTTCTCAACCGGCAGCCTCTGAGCCGACGAGGATGAACGGGATCGGCCGGTAGTTTGTGATGCGTTAGACTCTGTGCGGAACCTGTTGGTCGGCGTCTCTCGGCCTTGTTGGAGTTGGAGCTGCCGTTGAGCATATCTAGACTCGTCGTAGGAGTGAAGAGGCTTTTGGAACAGCCCCATAGCAGTGGCCTTGCCCCGGTCACTGGGGAGAACAGAACTCTCCTCTCCTTCGCTGATGGGCGGGCTCAAAGGAGGTGCACCTCCAAAGGAAGACTTGGGTTCGGAGTTTGTGGGCACGTTGATGCCCAAATCCATGGGGACAATTGGCGATCCCATGGTCGGGGGACTGGCGGATCGCAGGTTCGGAGCGCTTCCCTTGGCCAAGATCCTCCTCTCATTGCCAAAACGATCGCTGAAGAGGCTGCTTGTGGGTGAAGGTCCGTTTTGGAGGTCGGGGGTCCTGCTGCCTAGAGTTCGCTGCCGAGAAAGGGTGTCCATTCGCGATAGAGCCGAAGATTGTTGCTCCTGGAGATCATGGTTGAGTCCTGTCTCGTAAAGACGTCGTGCTCGGGTAACGCTCCGGTCAAGGTTGGGCGTGCCTGATGCCGAACTTGGTGCCGTCGGGTTCGACTGCCAATCCTTTGCTGCTGACGTTGGTTGGGACATGACAGAGGTGGCGGCCGTGGAATTGCGGCCTAGTGACGGTGTTGATGATGTGGTTGAGTTGGTTTCTCTCTTGCGGTCGTAGCCCAGCGGTGGAGGTGATTCCGCGCGAGGGAGATCGATACTCGAGGGCTTCTGGTCCTGTTCGTCGTCAAATGGTTGCTTAGACTTCTCCGTCTGCCTCCATTTCTGGAAGGCTGACTTTGCAACATCGTCATCATAGAGAACGCGTCCACTCATGCCACCGCCGTCGAGGTTCTTGGTGGAAACAGCACCAGAACCAAGCTTGTACACTTTTTGGCGTCCACCAAATAGGTTGTTGCCTTCTCCCGGCTTGGCTCGGTCCATGACACTTCCCGAGATGGAGTTGCCATCAGCAGAGTGGTAAGAATCCATCCGGTTAAATGGCACCTCTTTTCTGATTGACTCGACCTCGGCGATGTCCGACAGTCCGTTGGGACCAGGCCCAAAGCCAAAGTCTAACATCCTCGACTGGCGCTTCGGAAACAGAACGCTGTCGTCGCTGGCCTTGCCGATTTTCGTGTTCGGGTCGTCTTGTTCTCTCAGCATAGAGAACCGTGCAGAAAGCCCAGTCATGAGAAGACTCGTGCGGAAGTCATCGCTGTGGGGCAAGGCATTCTCGAGATCCAGTTCCTTCTTGGGCTCTTCTTCTTGTGATTTCTTTCCCTTGCCAAATAAACGGAATGGTGCGGGAGACTCTGATTCGTGGGAGGCCCGAGGCGTAGAAGAGGCGGCATCATCCTTCGCCCTCTTCTTGGTGCGAAATCTGTTCATTGTGTATTATCGTGTTCTGCCTCGTCGGCAGAGGAGCTGTGTGCGTAGGGTCGACAAGCAGTTCCTTTTTTTTTCCTTCTCAAAGCGATTTTATCAAGCTTAAGCGTCGGTGCTCTTCATTAAGCGGCGTCCATTAATGGTGGTTGGGATGGTAGATCGAGAAGTTGGGACGAAGAGCGAAAGTTTGTTTGAAACGGGCAATGTTCGCTCGGGACGATTGGCCAAGAGTGCGTCTGAAGTCGAGATGCGGGATGGCTAGACACAAATAGCAGAATCGTCAGCATAGATTTGACAGGAACCCTTGGACACACGACCACGTTCCGGTCTCAGCTCTAGACGGCTTCTTCAGCCTTTGGG